AGAATCGTAGATGTGTATGTATTATCTATACCCTTTTTTTTTTTTTTTGCTTTTTGGCAGGGAATCTGAAACATATCTGTATTTTACAAATAGGGTTTGAGTTGTGGGCTGGGCCGGATGGTAGTTGGGTTCACAGTTAATTGGGCAGAATTTAAAAAAAAATCCCAAAAAAAATTGTGGGGTCATTTGACCCCACATGACACCATGTGGGTCCGCCCCTGTATGTGCATACGTCTAGGAAAGAAAAACCAATTTGAATGAGAAAAGTATCTTGCTATATCTTATCGATTGCTAAGAGACCTAAAATTGTACGAGAATATAGTTGTATTATACGTGAAATGATAGAAATTGGATCCTCAATGTTTTGGATTAATTTCACAAATTGTCACTGAACTTACCTAAAAATTAAGAAAAACCAATTTGAATGAGAAAAGCATCTTGCTCTATCTTATCGATTGCTAAGAGACCTAAAATTGTACGAGAATATAGTTGTATTATACTTGAAATGATAGAAATTGGGTCCTCAATGTTTTGGGTTAATTTCACAAATAGTCACTGAACTTACCTAAAAGTTACATAACGGTCACTGAAGTTTAAAACTTGTAGAAATTGTCACCGAAGTTTCATGCACTGTCACAAACGGTAACTGAACTTACTATTACTGTTATGATGTTAATTCAAACTTAGAAGACCCAAACACGTGGACATACAAGTTTGAGGACCTCAAGTGTAAATCTGTTGCTATTAAGGCCCAAACCCAACAAAATCTTCACAATCACTGATCTGAAAAATCCCAAAAAAATAATGGGAGAAAATCATGCCCTAATCATCCAATAAATTGCTCACGATTCGTAGATAAGGTTCCAATCAAGAGCCGAAATCCTCAAATTCCCCTTCCAAACTGCACGAGATGGTACATATTTCTTCAATTCTTCTGCAAAAATCGAAGAGGCGAGACCACAATCTTCTAAAATTTATTCGACATGTCAGATGTGGAGGAACAAGATGAAGGTTAGCACTTACAGTTCTGGAACCAGGAGCAGCTTGTCTGTTCGCACTGAGTCTGGGTATATAGTTGTCATTTAAGTCTAATGTTTGCTTGAGTTCATCACAGAACATATTATGAGCTATGTGTAGGTTCTCAATATGCACGTAGAGAGAATAAATTTGTATATGATTCTATTGCATTAAATAATTAAAAAAATAAAATGAATGCGTATTTTATTCTCAGTTGTAAATCACTAAAAATGTTGTTATTTTAGATGATGTCTCTGCATTTATTATATAATTTGTTATGGTAATCGGCTTTGACCAAACTATTAGAATCAACAAACCAAAATAATGGAAGATGCATGTAGTGTGAATTTCCCTTCTGACCGCTACATCCAATTAAGGTGTTATGTTGTGAAGTTTCAAAACTCAACATCCTATGACCATCTTATCCACCATTAATAGGACATTCACTTCTGCCATGTAAATTGTTGGCACTAAGATTGTATGGTCACATAAATTTATTTGACATGTCTGTATTGGTCGCATAAAGTAACTTTGGACAGATTTCGGGGCTGTTAGCCCAAGAATAACAACCAAGAGGAGGGTGAATTGGTTATTAAAACTATTACGTTAATCACTCACGATTTTAATAAATGAGCATGCTAATGATAGAGAATAG